CATCGCCAAAAACCGGAACTTAATCACGGAACTAGAGCCTCTAAGGAACTTGTGATATTTAATTAGCGCGTAATTTGATCCGCTTAACTTGTAAATATATATCTCAGTATTTTTCAATAGCGTCATTCCTGATGATGACTGAAACCTAGTCGAAACGTTGAATAAAATGTTAACTATATTCGGAGTGTCTATTGTTTTGTTCTTTTTAAAATTACTCAATGGCAACCGTAATTTTTTTGCTACAAGCCCGTTGGGGAAACATCTTGTTAACAAGTTGTTGGAATAGCATTGTCACAACTTGTTAACAAGCTTGCTACAAGCCCGTTGGGGAGACATCTTGTTGACAAATTGTTGGAACAGCATTGTCACAACTTGTTAACGAGCTTGCTACAAACCTGTCGCGAAAAATCTTGTTAACAAGTTGTTGGAACTGCATTTTCAGAACTTGTTAACAAGTTTGCTACAAGCCCGTTGGGGAGACATCTTGTTAACAAATTGTTGGAACAGCATTTTCAGAACTTGTTAGCAAGTTTGGTACAAGCCTGTTGGGGAGATATCTTGTTAGCAAATTGTTGGAACAGCATTGTTCCAACTTGTTGACAAGCTTGCTAGAAACCTGGTTGCGAAAAATATTGTTGACAAATTGTTGGAACTGCATTTTCAGAACTTGTTAACAAGTTTGCTACTAGCCTGTTGGGGAGACATCTTGTTAACAAATTGTTGGAACAGCATTGTTCCAACTTGTTGACAAGCTTGCTACAAACCGGTTGCGAAAAATCTTGTGCACAAGTTGTTGAAACTGCATTTTCAGAACTTGTTGACAAGCTTGCTACAAGCCTGTTGAGGAGACATCTTGTTAACAAGTTGTTGGAATAGCATTTTCTTAACTTGTTAACAAGCTTGCCGCAAGCCCATTGGGGAGACATCTTGCTAACACGTTTTTGGAACAGCATTGTCACAACTTCTTAACAAGTTTGCTACCAGCCCGTTGGGGAGACATCTTGTTAACAAGTTGTTGGAACAGCATTGTCACAACTTGTTGACAAACTTGCTACAAGCCTGTTTAGGAGACATCTTGTTGACAAATTGTTGGAACAGCATTGTCACAACTTTTTGACAAGCGTGCTACAAACTTTTTGAGGAGTCATCGTGTTGGCAAATTGTTGGAACAGCATTGTCACAACTTGTTAACAAGCTTGCTACAAACCTGTCGCGAAAAATCTTGTTAACAAGTTGTTGGAACTGCATTTTCAGAACTTGTTAACAAGTTTGCTACAAGCCCGTTGGGGAGACATCTTGTTAACAAGTTGTTAGAACAGCATTTTCAGAGCTTGTTAACAAGTTTGGTACAAGCCTGTTGGGGAAATATCTTGTTAGCAAATTGTTGGAACAGCATTGTTCCAACTTGTTGACAAGCTTGCTAGAAACCTGGTTGCGAAAAATATTGTTGACAAATTGTTGGAACTGCATTTTCAGAACTTGTTAACAAGTTTGCTACTAGCCTGTTGGGGAGACATCTTGTTAACAAATTGTTGGAACAGCATTGTCTCAACTTGTTGACAAGCTTGCTACAAACCTGTTGCGCAATATCTTGTTAACAAGTTGTTGGAACTGCATTTTCAGAACTTGTTAACAAGTTTGCTACAAGCCCGTTGGGGAGACATCTTGTTAACAAGTTGTTGGAACTGCATTTTCAGAACTTGTTAACAAGTTTGCTACAAGCCCGTTGGGGAGACATCTTGTTAACAAGTTGTTGAAACTGCATTGTCACAACTTGTTAACAAGCTTGCTACAAACCTGTTGCGAAAAATCTTGTGTACAAGTTGTTGAAACTGCATTTTCAGAACTTGTTCAGAAGCTTGCTACAAGCCTGTTATGGAGACATCTTGTTGACAAATTTTTGGAACAGCATTGTCACAACTTGTTAACAAGCTTGCTACAAACCTGTTGCGAAAAATCTTGTGTACAAGTTGTTGAAACTGCATTTTCAGAACTTGTTCAGAAGCTTGCTACAAGCCTGTTGAGGAGACATCTTGTTAACAAGTTGTTGGAATAGCATTTTCTTAACTTGTTAACAAGCTTGCCGCAAGCCCATTGGGGAGACATCTTGCTAACACGTTTTTGGAACAGCATTGTCACAACTTATTAACAAGCTTCCTACAAGCCCGTTGCGGAGACATTGTACTGGGATTGCCAGTAAATGAGGCGAAAAACAGGTTTCAACTCACTTTAATTATAAAATATACGGAAAATTACAAAATAGTAATTAGTGGTAAAACACTGTTTTCCTTCGCACGCCATATTAGCTCTCATGCGCATGCTCTAACAAAACGTAAAAAACATCGTTCAAAAGGCGATCGCAGAGATTATTGTCTACAACTTTACTACAACCCAATACACCGGAAGGACTGGGGTCGATGCGATCGCGTCTTAAAATCTGAATGTAAATTTCTCTAATGCATTGTTCACTCAATACTATATGTCACTGTCCGTTCATACACTCTCTTTTGCTTCCGACTTGGTTTCCTGGTCTTGATCCATATCCACTGGTACTAATAACGATAATCGCTGAGCACTTCGTGACACAATGACAGCCTCGTTATGTCCTTTGTATTTTTGTACCTTTTCTCCAATTTGAAAATTCTTGTACATCACATTTACTCGACGAACTTTTCCGTCTTGACTGGGAAACACTTCTTGTACTATACCTAAACGGTAATCTCCTCGCAAGGTATTACGGTCGGCGATGATTACAACATCTCCTGGGCGCAGGTTACGGTTGGCTGTATTCCACTTGCACGAATAACCAAGGTTGGGGCGTATAACTCCGTCCATTTCTTCCAGAACTCGTCTGTCACGATCTGGACAACATGATAACGCTTTCCTGGATTATTACCGTTAGGCTGCCATCCACCAGGATTTTTGTTCTTCAGGCGCTGTCCCACTACCCAGAGTCCACTTTCATCTTGGACTGGATTCAAACAAGCGAAACGACCACCTTTTCTGCCTTTGCGGTCAGTTTTTGTCAGTTCACTTTCAAATGATTTCTGAACTTCTTTAACAATAAAGTTCTCGGCTTCTTGTAATTGCTTAACCGAGATGGACAGAGTCCTTCCGCCTTTAAAACTTTTCTTCGCAATGTTTAGCAATCTCGCGACGACCCAAATAGCTTTGTTGATATTGCTGAATCTTTCATAGTCGATCAACAATGCCTCTACGCTCGCTGCTGCTGCTACAACATGGACTTTCTTTTCACCGGGGAGTGGTTCTTTCTTTGGGTTAAACTTTAATCCCCATTCTTCTATCGGTCGGTATAGAATCGGCGGTTCATTCCACCAATGAGAATCGTTGTTCAGCTCCTGTGGTGTTCTGCCGCGTGTCAACCAGTCAGCTGTATTATGTTGGCCAGACATCCAAGCCCAGCAAGTCAGATCTCCTTCAGTTGCTGCTTGGATTTCTCCGATTCGTACTCCCTCGTAAACTTTGAAACGTGTGCTTGTCTTGTGGATCATACTCAAGACTGTTTCTGAGTCCACGATTTGTAAAACTCTCTCGAAGTCGAACCTCATTTCTTTCTCGATGACCTTTCTTCCTCTTTTCGACAAAACAGCTGCGTTTAACTCCATCTGAGGGGTAGATAACTTATTGATTGGAGCAATACGACACTTCGCCATGATCAACCTACACCAGTAGCTTCCATCATCCAATTTCCATCGAATGTAAGCTGCGAAGCCATACGCGAGATCACTACCATCGCTCAAGATTATTAACCAAGGGCGTCCATTGCTATTCACAGGTCGTAAGCATCGCTCCAAACACAAACGCTGAAGTTTGAAAAGAGCAGTGAAGAAATTGGACCATTTGTTGCAAAGTTCTGCTGGAAGTGGGTCAT